ACACACACACACAGGGTAAGCCGGCCTCCTAAGTGTGTTGGTGGGGCCATAACAACGCTTACATTTTTTAAAAAAGAAAAAAAAAAGAAAAAGAAGAAAATGATTTCCCGTGCTATCAGAGCGGATGTGCAATATTCTTTGACTATGGTGACCTCTTCATGTCCTTTCATTTTTCACAATCTGATTTTATCCAACATGTTACATTGTGTGTAAAGTGTTAATACTGTTATCTGTTACATTGTATGTAAAGTGTTAATACTGTTATCTGTTACATTGTATGTAAAGTGTTAATACTGTTATCTGTTACATTGTATGTAAAGTGTTAATACTGTGATCTGTTACATTGTATGTAAAGTGTTAATACTGTGATCTGTTACATTGTATGTAAAATGTTAATACTGTGATCTGTTACATTGTATGTAAAGTGTTAATACTGTGATCTGTTACATTGTATGTAAAGTGTTAATTCTGTGATCTGTTACATTGTATGTTAAGAACTCATCATTTGTCACATACCTGTACGCTGTATTTGCACACATGGCTGCTCTCTCAACTCAAAAGATGCACTAAACTCCCTGAGTAGAAGAGAACAAGTCAGTATCTTTCGCCTGTCAACACAACACATCCCACTGGATTTCTACCTGAATAGGATCCTCAAGGATACCCCACCTGACTGCCCGTCGTGCGACTGCCAGGATGAAACAGTACCACACCACCTCTTTACCTGCCCTGCACTTAGCGACCTGCGTAGCACCTACCTACCTACCTGCCTGCCTCCCCAGACATCGGAAATACTCTATACAACGACAAAACACAGCTGATAAAAGCCTGTAACTTCTGTGCGGCGTGGACAGGCTGAAGGACTAGAACCCCGATCGTCGCTGGATCGGAAAAGGAAAAGAAAAGTAAGTGACATATTGTATGTTATGAACTTGTTCTTTGTTACTTTTACACCTGTTTGTAACAAATTTGTTATATGTTACTTATTGTATGTCATGGAATTCTTATTTGTTACCTATCGAATGTTACAAACTTGTTATTTGTTACTTTTCAAATGTTACAAATTGTTATTTGCTACTTATTGAATGTTACAAACTTGTTATTTGTTACTTTTCAAATGTTACAAACATGTTATTGTTTCTATCTCTAACTTGTTATAATTTGTTACACATTGTTTGTCTAACATGTGATTTGTTACACATTGTTTGTCTAACATGTGATTTGTTACACATTGTTTGTATGTAAATCTAACTTAGTATTTTTGGCTGGCTTGGTTTGTGGGTTTTGGTATCTTGCTTTGTCACACACTGTTCTCTCTCTTTTAATATAGAGAATTTTTAAATCGCACAATCTATTTATACCATAGTCTACTTACTTTTGGTTGTTTTTCTGCCTGTATATATGAGGAGTGCAAGGAAATGCCAGGGATGTCACTTGTTTTTTGTGAACGAGCTTCGAACAACATTTTTTGGTCTTGACCAAGCCCCATGTTTGCACAATGTGAACTAATCTCCAATCCGTCGTTGTCCATTGTAATGCTCGCGAGAAAGAAGTGTCGACCGTAAATTCTGTCAAAAATCTTTTTTAACGTACACAATCAGGGAGAAAACGGGAAATGTCTGAAGTGCAAAGAATGTCAGCGCGCGGGATCGGTTTCCCCTGCAAATGACTCCAATGTTTTGAGTCGACTACTGATGACGAAAGAAGCGTTTTATTATTCATAGCTTATTTCAATAGTCTCAGTAGCAAAGGCCGGCAGTACAGCATGCCTGCGTCTTTCACATCATTGGACGACTTCAAGGACAGAGCGAACAATTATAAATCAAAACTCCAGCACTATGACTACTTCATGACTACTTCTGCTCCAGCACTATGACTACTTCTGCTCCAGCACTATGACTACTTCATGACTACTTCATGACTACTTCATGACTACTTCATGACTACTTCTGCTCCAGCACTATGACTACTTCATGACTACTTCATGACTACTTCTGCTCCAGCACTATGACTA